TATTAATGGTTTGATTATAAAATATGGCACTCTAGACTTACCAACAAGTATTTTATCTATTTCTCGCATGCGGACGATTTTCGGGTTTTTTCGGCGTTGTAAAAATAACATACTGAATGGTTAATTTTAACACTATTTTGGAGTAGAAACAACAACAAAATTAGTTCATAATGAATCGAGCTTATGTTTTAAAACAACATTCTCTATTTTATCAATTTAACTACCGGTATTAGATTATATTGAATACCTACAACTTCCTAAATTCAACAAATTTTGGGTGTTATTATGACTTATTAATAATTAAAAATTTATTATGATTTATTAATAATTTAAAATTATTAAAATTACTAAAATGTATTTATCTTAAATTAAAATAGATAATTTTTGCTGGAGTATTGCGAAAGCAGTCCCAGCGGTGCCGTCGGTTTAAACAGTAAAAAAAAAAAAAGGTAATTTATTAAAAACCCATTAAATATGCATGTTATATGCATTTATGAACCAATATGCAATAATCCTCTAAATATGCAAAATATGCAATATACAATTTGGTGTTTAAATTCAGTGTGAGATGAACAGCCGACATTTTGAAAGCTTCTAGACGTGCATACACTTAGTACAAATATGCAAATGCATATAAATCCGAGCTCTACTTATTATCATTTCTCAATGATATGCGTTGAGCCAACATATTATTGTGGTTAATATAAATGACTATGCAGTTGATTCAACTTATGGGTGTTGAACATTGTAGTTTGAAGTTAAATCACCTACATTATTTTTATGTGTGTATGTTTATTGTTTAATTACATATTAGTTAGTTATAACTTATATTTTATATTTTCCTAAAGGGGGTTTATTATTATATTGTTTTGATAATTTTAATTTTATACAAGGTACATTACTTTTGTTTAAGGTAATATTTAGAAAAAAATTATTCAATGGACTTGATAACAGTTATAAGATTCTCGAAGCCCTCCTGGATTTTATCAATGTTTTCGGTAACTTTCTTATGTCTCGTTGTTGGTGTTTGTTCTCGGGTTTAATTCTTGTTTCTTTTTTAACTAGGGAATAATCTATACATGATAGATTTGAGCCTGTGTCTATTATTGCATTTTGTTCGTTGCCGTCTAGTTTTATTTGTATGGATAGCACTCTTTGTTCCGGTCTGTGTCTGAATCTACGCTTGTATTTTATTTTTGATTTAATTTCGTCTTTGTTTTGAATTAGCTGGTTTTTGGTTTCTATGGCTTTCTCGTCTTCTTGTATGGGCCGATTCCGATATTCTCTTATGTAGTTTCCGCATATTTCACAAAACATAACGTTTCCCCCTCACTCCAATACTCTTCTTTGTCAACATGGTCGTCTAGTACATCCTTGGTTGTGGACAAATATTCGCAGTCTTGTCAACATTGTGAGTACCATAATGTTGATTTGTCAGTTTTAAAATTGTTGCCGGTTTTATTTTTTCCTATTGTGTTTGTGTGATAATTTAAGCGATCGAAACATTCGTATAAGAAATGGTCTACATTTTTTCTACAGTATTAAAGTCGGGAAAAACTGTGTTTATTATTACCTATTTTATTGAATTGAAGTGGTTTATATATTTTTGTGATAATTCCTGGTGTCCAATTATAATCTTTTTTGAATATCCCTATACTTTTCCTATTTGATTTCCAGTATATTATGGCATTTGTATGTTCGGAATCTTCGTGTATTAAATATAAATTTAAATTAAATTGGTCACAGATAAATGCTAGATCGTCATTTTTAAAATAGTAGCCAGATTTACAATTAGGAATGCCGAGCATATTTAATAATTCTACCGTCTTTCTATATATACCATGTTGTTTCAAGCATATTCGTAGTGCGTGGGCACCACAATCACCGTCTCCGGGTACGTCTTTCGTTTTTATGAATGAGCCAGCTATTAGTGCGATTTCGTTCTTTAAATTATCACTGATCGTGTTATTAAAATGTTTACCTATCGTAATATTAGTAGTTTGGGAATCATTGTTTTTATAATATTTATTTTCATTGTCGTTGCTCGGCAGTAGGCATATTAATATTTTTATTTGCGTGTTTTGAAAAATAAACTTAATCATGGTAGAAATAACGTTCCAATCCTTTTTGTCTTGTCCAGTGCAAATTTTGGGTAGTGCTAAGGTAGTAATATTATTTTCTATACAAAATTGCCTAGTATTAGTTAAAGTGCTAAAAATGTTAGTGTGTGCTGGTTTGTCGTAATATTTATTTTTTGTTATGAGGTATAGAATCCATTGTCTTCCGTTTTTCAAATAAGCAATTTCGGTCGGTTTTTTTTTCTTGGTCTATTAAATTTTGAACGTTGTTAAATTTATTTCTAAATTGTAATGCGATCCCCTTCGCCATGGTGAGGCATTGGCTTGTGCAATGGCCGATTGCGATATCATTTGGTAATGAAAAAATATTTACCGTCTGTTCACTGTAATCGCATAGGAAATCGGTTCTATCGTTATTGCTGAGTAGGAATTTTTGGAATTCATTTAATGGGTTCAAATTACTTATTGTTACGATGTTTTCTATAGATTTTTCGTCATCGTCGTTTATTTCATTAGTTATTTATTTATTTGAATTTTGAGTTGCTAAAGAAGGTGGTATTTAAATCTGAATCAGTTTTTATTGGACTTATGATATCTTCGTATATGTGTTCTACTTTTGTAGATTCGTTAGGATCCAAGTTTATTAAATGATTGTAACTATTACTAGGGGCTTGTACCAAATCGTTTTGATATAAATAACTAACAGAGCTTACAAATTTATCTGCTTGAGTTATTAATTTGTTTGCGTTATTTTCTAAATTTTTGGATATATTATTTAAAAGGTCGTTATCGAATGTTTTTGGTCTATTTATAGCGCTATTACTCGTTTCAGGGCTTGAATCACTTAAGTTGCTCTGTGTAAGTAATTCTCTAATATCAATTCTATCTTCTATTGAATCCTTTTGAACTTTGTGTTTTTGTAGATGGCTTAAAGTTTCTTCGATGTCGTCTAATTCTACTATCCCCTTATAGTATCTAGATAATCTAGCCCTTAGGTTATCTACGGTTCCTACACTTTTTAATTTTTTAGATTTGTATAATTTAATAAGATCTGGTTTCTTTTGTAAATAAATATCGGTTAATTTTGTATTTTTATTTTTTTTTCAAAGCTATAAGGTGTTCGTCATTCATATCATAATAAAATGTACTTAATTAATTTATGCTTAACACTTAATTTTTGAACAGTTTGAAACTTAAATTAAAATATTTTCGTGGTTATTTAATACCGAATAAACAATTTGAAAAATTATTGAGAAAAAAAATACTATTTAAAAAAAACTAATCTACATTCCTAATATTAATACTTAAATTTAAAATATTTTTGCGGTTATAATTATATCGAATAAAAATTTTGAAAAGAAAAAGAATGAAATAGAGAGAAGAAAAAAAAAATGAACTACAAAAAAAAAATATTTTATTTAAATAGTTTCTTTAAAAAACCTAATCTACTCGTTTAAAACTTAAATTAAAATTTTGCGGTTATTTAAAATTGAAAAAATTTTGAAAAATTATTGAACTAAAATTCCATTTAAATTGTTTTAAGAAAAATCTAATCTATAATCCTAATATAAGTATATTACAAAACGCCGCTCACCTTGGCGTATACTTGTAGACGCACGGTTGCAAAAATTGCACCACGCGGCACAAAACTGCTGTCTTGTCGGTCAGACAAAAATCGAACGCGTATGTGTTACTCACTCGGTATACACACGCACAAAAATTGCGTTCTGGGTTTCTACTGCACCCAAAACACACAAAAGTATTATTTTACTTTAACACTCTAACAGGTAAAAATAAAAAAAAAACACTAAACTGGCTCCGGGTTTACTACCCGAAACGTGCACAATTGTCGTACTTCACTTGTACAAAAAAAAAAATGGTGTGCCAAGGGAATCTCTCCCAGACCACACGTAAAAACTGTTGTACTTCTCGTACATAAACACTTAAAAAAAAATTAAAACTTGCCAAGGTTGAGGTACCAGGGCACAAAAAATCAAAAAAATGTTTCCGACCGTGGATAAGTAACCCCGTTGGGCGCCACTGTCGTATATGCACTTTCCAGTGATATACCTCTATCGACACTTGAGCAACCAAAAGACCATAAATTAACCGGTTGCAGTTTGGCTCTCTTAGACGTCGATATCGCTACCTTACTGTTTGGACTTTCAATCTTCAACGACCATAAATTAACCGGTTTCAGATCAGATTGAAAGAATACAATTAACGTAGGACTACCTTCACCGTTTATACTTTAAATCGTCAACGACCATAAATTAATCGGTTTCAGATCGGATTTAAAGCGTACATAGAATTGCTTGGCTACTCAAACAAAACAAATAATTTTCGGGTCGGAAACACTTTTATTAAAAATGTAAAACAAATATAAATAATTCAATAATTATTTAAAAACACTTAGTCTATACCACGACTGTCGTACCTGCGTTCTCGCTGAAACACCAGCGAGAACGGGACTCCTCGTGCCTGCGCGTCCGGTGGTGTTATATAGCAAAATAATTATTGCTGCCTCAGCACATCTTGCTTCATTGGCCTGACCTATGTTAATAATTTATAATAAAAATGTTCCCACCTATATTATATGTAATTATAGTGACGACTGTCTACATATACGACAAAGCCTTCAACCACACCATCAGCTTCCATACTCGTGGACGATTTTTTCCAATTTAGGAAACATTTGTGTTCTACAACTTCCTTTCTCGACGCTGATCTCTGGCAAACAACACAATATTTGTTGCGAATACCAACAAACAAAACTTTATTGGTCTTATGGCCAATTATTGACTATTGTTGCCTGTTAGATTAAAATGTAATTACTAAACTATAACTATTAACAGATCCACATATTATATTGAGTACAAATTAAAATAACTTACAACCCCAGATGACGCGTCATACTTTGTCTTATAGCTCCGTTTGGACCTTTGTCCATCCGCAACTACTGGTAATCATAGGAATACCATCAACATCTATATCACCACAGTCTAAAGCTATTCTCTTTTCTTCCTCGCCAGCCTTTTTCATTTCTTCCCATGCAGTATCGTGAACAATTTCGGCTATAGAAGCCTGTGTTTTAACATAACTACTACATGACAATGATGGTAGTTCTAAAAATGCTGTGAATTCGTTCAACTGAGTATGTCCAATTCCTAAATTTAAACTTATATTATTTAACCTATAAATTTCAAATTTATTGTTTAAAGCTAAATATGACTGTGCAATTATAGTGTATATAGTACCTATATACACTATAATTACACTATATACCTATCCATATTTAATTGGTTACTATAGATATGAATAGTTATATGGTATATATATAAGTACAACATTTAAAAGTGTATGTATATTGATTGTGAAAAATGGTTTTATTTTTGCATTTCTAGTAAAAATAATTCTTCGATTTTCAACTTAAGCAATTTTTGGGAAAGTGGAAAAATTTTTTTTTAATTATTGTCGATAAAAATGTTTTAGCTCGATCAAAATATTTAAGTTAAAAAATATTAAAGATACATAATCACGATTTTTCTTGATAAGTATTTAAAGTTAAAAATTTGACAAAATTCTTCAAAATCTCGAAAATTAGCAAATTATTTCGTGGTTACAAATTTATAAAATTTACAATTGTTATAGCTATAAAGATTAAAAAATTATTCTCATTAGTAGTTCCCAAAAATCTAAATTCATATTTGGGACGAAATGAGGTATTTAAATGAAGAGTAACAATTTTAGTTATTTTGTTGTAATTTAAATATATTACTATACTTTTACCTGTAAGGTTGTACAATTTAAAATTTTTTACTATTTTAGTGCCATAAGTTCACAGACCTGGTAATGATAAATAATTGTTATAATATATAATATAAAAAATGCAAACCTATAGCTTGACATGCATTTACAACTGATTTATTGACTGATATGGACTGGATATTCGAAATATTAGCGGTATACAATTTTGACACTATATTACACATTTTGCACTTGAAATATAGAATTGATTGTAAACCTTGAATTATTTCAGATTGGTATTCCATATCAATAAAAGAACATCCGAATCCACCTTCATGTCTTTTTTGAATCTGGTTAATAAAATATTCAATATCGACAATCCTTCTACCTTCAAGACTTCTAATACAATCGATAAATAAATACAAATTATTTTATTATAATTGGTCAAACATTTAAAATAAATTATTTAATACATTATTTACTTGGAAACTATAGGTTCATAGGATTTATTACTCGATTTCACATACAAATTTTGATCAATAATAGAATCCATAGTTAAAATTGTATCAGCTGGTGTATCAAATGAGGTACTAGGTTGCTGAGCATTTGCATGTGATTTATAAAATGATATAGGAGTGCTAGTTAGTATAGGTTCCCTAGACAAATTTAAAGATACTTAAAAGTTGCATCGGAATTGAATGTCTTATGATTTTAGTATTATGCTTATAAAATAAAAAAAACAAAGACACAATGTTATAAGAGGGACGGGATTTCGATGCATTTCCCATTGTTTTCCTAGATACGCCATGCTCGTTTTATACGAACGTGTTTCATGTATTTTTGAATCAGAATAAAAAGTTACATTTATTAGATTTTGCATTTTTTGATAATTTTCAATTTTTATGTAATTTTTTCATATTCAAACCTTATAAGGTTTTTAGTGCGATTAAGAATAAAATAAGGGATTTTTTTATTTTTAGATTTTAGCTTAAAAAGTACCTTAGTAACGGACTAACATGCTAACAAGGATTATTGATTATAATTTTTCGAACGGATTTGTATACGACCTAAAAATCGATATTAGGTATACGGTGATGAATCATAATAAAATATTCATAATATTATGACTCTTTTTGAGCTGTTTATAACTATGACAAATTGTCGATTTTTTAAGTTTTTTAGATCAATTATGTTCGATAAATAGCTGGTTCATAAAAATTGAAAATTGAATACAAGGGTCCTTATAAATAGTTATAAATGTAATAAGAAAAAAATTTGAGTGTAAATCTACAATAATTTAAAAGGGAGTAGAATAATAATTGTTATAATTTCGTAAAAATCGTGAAAATGTGCAAATTATTTTTTAGTTAGAAATTTAGAACAGTTTTTCTTTTCATAGCTAACGTTTGAAAATGTAATACAAGAACCCTCGTAAGTTTTTCTAAAAAAAAGCTTACCGGAACGTCAAATTTGAGCGTATGAAGTTTAAATTGTTACGACATTTGATTGATGAATTTAATTTAATTTAATTTAATTCATTCACCCGTAAATTAACTATTTTATTATTTTATTATAATTCAAAAAGGAATAACCGTAAATACTAGAAATTTTCACAAAATGTTTATTTTATTATTTTTATGCATGGTACAATTTTCAATTCAATTTACAATTTGTTTTTAGTTTTATACTTACATTGTATTATCATTTGAAGATATATCAATACTATTTGTAATTATTATTTCAGCTGCCTCTTCCGAATGTTGGTTGTTCATTGAACTAATGCTGTAATTTATTATGGATTGCACAATAAATAAATAACAATAAAATTGTATATTTGTATACATATCACATATCATATGGACATTTAGATAAACTTACTTCTTTTTTGAGCGAATTGCTTTCATTCTAGCTGAAATTGCTTTCGATTTACATCGATAATGCGTACTTGTATAACCATGTGATTTTTTTGAGCCTCCCATTATAATTTAATTAAAAAAAAACAATATTGTTCAATTTAGAGAATAACAGAACACAAAATTATAGTACCTTCTTCTAGAACACTTGGAAAGTAAATGATAAAACTATTTAAAATATGTTATTGATGACTCGACGTCTAAATTGGGGGCCTGGGCTATATTGCTTATTTTTGGTACTGAAAACGCCTATTAGGTAGAGTACTTTTATAGTTCCATACATGACTTATTTTATTTTACCCAGAATAATATAATATTATTATTTTACTGGTCGCAGACCATAATTGTAATTAGTTATTGGAAACTCAGATAACACCAAGTCGTCGCGTTGCCCGTATTGCTGAAATTAGAGTATAATATAGTGACGTAATTTCGTCGTCAGCCGTCCTGTATAATATACGAGTACTATATACTATCCGCTGTATTTCTGTGGCAGCACATACCACGTACGGCCTAGCAAGATTTTCATATTATTTTAATTCAAACTAACTTTCACTCTGTAACCACAATTTGAATAATAATTAATATAAATAAAATGTTATTCCACCATCTGAAAGTTAGTTATTTTAACTACAGCCGAGCGTGGAGTTTTTTTCGATACCTTTTTTGTTACTATCCAAAAAAATGTGGTTAAAAAATGTAAATTTTCAAATTTTGATATAAAAAAAAAAATTGTTTATAACAAAAACTCAACGCTCGGACCCAGTAAATTTTCCCTTCTTTCATAATCTGTGATAATTGTGTTCATACAATTAATACAAAGGAATATGTACGCATAGAGCATGAACGTGTTTTATTACATATAAAATGGGTGTGTAGCGTCCTCATACCAACTTCTCGTCTCAACTTCGCGGTGCACCTATTAGTTTCGAGTCTATATATACACGGTACAAGCACATTATTATGATAATATTCTACTTACAATAGTATTATCAATACGACGTTGTCGTTTTTAAGTGAAATTACATTGTTAGTATTGATGCTTTGGTACTTTGGTAGTATTCATATTTACATATTCAAGGTTGGGGATGTTTTGCCTTAAAAGATAAAAATGATCCAACTAAAAATGCACTCAATTTTTTTATTTTAAACAAATTTTGAAAATGGGTAGGTAGTTAAATGGTTGCCATTTTGATATGTAAAACATATTATTCATGTAGAGTTGTAATTTTTAATGTGAATTGATGATCATTGAGATGTTGTGCTCAAATAGGGATTTTGAGATTTTATATGGACTTTTTTGTTTATAAATAGTTTCCGTGGGTTTCAAAGCTATATAATAATAATAATCATCGGTTGCCATTGGTTTAAGTTGGTTGTTATTTATTTTAGTGCCTAACGATTCATTTTTTCAAAAAAACTGAATTCAATTGCAACTGTTATAAGTTAATTTGGTGTACGCACCGGACGGAAAAACGAAAAATATTGTATATCCAATGCACTTCTGTACATGGCAATTGTAAAACTGTGTACGAATATTGGGTAATCCATTTTAAGTTAGGTAAGGATAATCTATATATATACAAATGGAGACAAAAAATTCGAAATTGCATCAGTTGAGAACGGCTGGGCCGATTTTGCTCAAATTTTTTTAAAGATGTTCGTAATTGCCAGGTGAAGGTTTTTACGAAAGAAAATTTTTAAAAAGTCAACCGAATAATTAGAAAAACTGCAAAAACTATTAATTGATGTCTGGGATTTGAACTCGATACCGTTGTTTTTATTTACTCTATGGTGTATTATATTATATTGGTTGCTATTGGTTAATCGGGCATGTTTGTTGATTTGTATTATTATTTTTTGTAAATATATCTTATATATAAATGAATGACCTATGGGAAGAAGATACGCAAATTTAAAAAGGGTTAAATTTGGTTATTTTATTCATCGGATTTTAGTACGGTTAGGTTAGGTTAAGATTTATAGGTAGGTGGAATTAAGTAAAAATGTCAAACTTGGTATAACTTTGGTACTTTTTGAGTTAAATCATACACTTACGCACAAACAGCACGGGGTCCGCGATCTACCGCAGGTAAATTACCTATCTGATAATGTACTGCTGCAATTCAGAATTTTTATTCCGGGCAACAGAAAAGTTAAGATAAATCTAGAACATCATACACCGAATATTAAATAACGCATTAAACAATGTTTGAGTCATATAGAGTTGGTACATTTAACGGGAAATCTAGCACGGGATCAGCTAGTAATTAATAATTAATATCGAGATTAATATAGGATAGGTTAGGGCTTAGGGTTAGATATTAATTGTATCACATTATTGATATGTATTTTCCATTTTAATTGACTGGCCATGTGGAAAGTAGATAATATAACAGCCCTTGGCTTCCCTTGATTTGCCCAACGCACAATGGATTATGATAAGGAAATAACAGACCTCACCTTGAGTGACGACGAAGTGGATGAACCAACACCTTCGTCCAGTATGAAAAAAGAGCAGTTGGAAATGCGAATCGAAGCTTTAAAATACTTGTTATTGTCGCCGGTAAATTTTACTGAAATATATTATGCCTGCACTCCCTTTTCCCCATCAAATGACCAGTATAACTTTAAATAGAATTCAAATATCTGATAGAGAGTTTAATCTAATTTTAAAACTTGCTCCAAATTTAAAGGATTTAGGTATTCTTAATTGTAGAATAGTCGACTTCGATGCTACAGGTCCAATCCTAGGAGGTTCCAGGACTCCCTTAAGGTCTCATCCCGTCCACAGTAATATTGATTGTTCATTTAACAAGTACAATTCAAATGAAATTCTTTCAGAGTATAATATTGTAAACCATCTCAGTATTTCTCTTCGCTTAAATAGCCTTATTTTAAATCATGGTACTAGGAGTGACGACAATGGATTATGATAAGGAAGTAATAGACCTCACCTTGAGTGACGACGAAGTGGATGAACCAACACCTTCGTCCAGTATGACAAAAGAGCAGTTGGAAATGCGAATCGAAGCCTTAAAATACTTGTTATTATCGCCAGTAAATTTTACTAAAATATATGTTGCCTGCACTCCCTTTTCCCCATCAAATGACCAGTATAACTTTAAATAGAATTCAAATATCTGATAGAGAGTTTAATCTAATTTTAAAACTTGCTCCAAATTTAAAGGATTTAGGTATTCTTAATTGTAGAATAGTCGACTTCGATGCTACAGGTCAAATCCTAGGAGGTTCCAGGACTCCCTTAAGGTCTCATCCCGACAACAGTAATATTGACTGTTCATTTAACAAGTACAATTCAAATGAAATTTTTTCAGAGTATAATATTGTACACCATCTTAGTATTTCTCTTCGCTTAAATAGCCTTATTT